AAAAAAATTAGGTATTTTGCATATGAAAGCATTGTAGTTTGCTGATAAACTGCCAAATTCTGTTAACACTTGCTTATTAATTTAAAAGTTATAGCATGAAAACTATAACAAGCACAAAATAGTTACGAGGTCGGTCCGAGGGACCGAGCCCGGATTGAAAGAGTTAAAGATAGTGTATCCATTTCAACGTGATGGTTGACTAATGTAGGTAAAAGTTTATTCATATTTGTACTAGACACTGCTATGTCAGATGATTTAAAGTAATTAAAGAAGAATGTAAATAAACATAGGTAATCACTTAATGAGAGAATACGTTACTATGTGGACAAGAAACTATAACAGATTTAGTAAATCAAAAACAGTTACTTGATGGAGAGATTAAGCAAGCACCAAACTAGTAGTAAATATCAGCTGTGAACCAATGAATATGCTGGAAAACTAAACATATTGTTACAGCATTTAGAAACAAAATAGCTGAACATTTCAAATGTAATTTAGGGCAAAATATTATGAAAAGTGGATTATCAACTCAATTCCTAAAGAAAGAGCCTGTAGCTATAGCGGATTATAGACTGATACTAAAGGCTACACAATGACCAACAAAGTTTGTCAATAAGAAATTGTGTTGAAATGACACTCAAATTTATTTATTTAAACTGCCAAACCTACAAAACTAATAAGTAAAACATACAGTGTACAACTTGACTAGGTGACTACCATTTACAACTGAACATTTGAACACATCTATGACTGAACTACAATGCACTACTAGACAAATGTGTTGCATAATTGTACTTGATTACTTGTTATGAAGTGGACAAAAGGTATAATTTTACTAAATAAAAATGTATTTCCAACAGGTACTTCCCTAAGCTCACAAGATTAGCTTTTCTCATTTTGTACTGCCTTCTGTATGCAAACTTTTTCAGAAATGCATGCCACAAGCCTTCATCATCCTTCTGTTGGAATCCAAAGTTCCAACACGTCTCTCATGCAAATCATCATGCGTCACCTCTCCACCAACAGGAGAGCACTACTATCACATGATACGTGACTCCCTCTATGTAACTATTGGAAATACATTTTCATTTAGGAAAATTATAACTTACGATAAGGTACTGTCTCTCCACTCACAAGATTAGCTTGAATCCCACACTGAAATGGAGGGACCAGTGTGAGGGAAGCACAAGCAAATCCCCCGGAAGCATCCAGAGAACACCCCCAAAATGAGAGGAACAGAGCAGATGATCTGAGAAGGGGCACAGCATCACATCTGAGCCAGGTATCTCTTTGCCAGGATCATCAACATGATCAGGAGGACCAGGGAGCACATCTGCATGGGAGAGGATAGTTTAGCAAAGTGATCGTAAACAGAAATCAGAATCACTCAATCCCATGATAGATAGTGGCCAAGTGAGGATGTGTCCCATGGTATAGAGTGGCTAAGGCAGACCGTACTCAGTAAGTCAACCTCACTCGCTGGTTACTGACATATTGGCGAGGGTAGGATGAGGATCATACTGTCTTCAGTCCCAGAGTCAAGAGAGAACCTCACATTCAACTCCAGGAACTCACAGAGTAGCCTAATGCCAGGGATCCAAGAATGTGTCATCCAGAATCTGAGGGAAGTCCATCGCATGCTTTCAACCCCCATGACCGTGAAACCAGCCTGAAATGATCCCAGGCCAGTAACAACCTCATCACCCAATGAGGAGAAACCCAGGACAGAAGCAGAAACAGGCCACAAAGACTTTCTGCAACCCACAATGTAGAAGACAAGTGAAGAGGGGAAGATGGATGACCCAGAAACCTGTGTGAGGACTTATTTGATTGGTTCACTCGACTTCACTCACTGGGTACTGACATCCACGCGAGGGTAGGAGGAGGAGGGCACCCAACTGAAGAGGTGAACTGCTTTTGGGTATCTCCAACTCTGGGAATTAGTTACTCATCCAGAGGATATTGTAACTCCCTCTACATCAGCAGAATACCACCCTACTCTCAACTAAGTGGTTATAGCCATCTTTGTGAAACCCATCCAGCAGATTCCCTCCATGGTCAACCACCCCAGTGGCTGGGAACTGGTAAGAGGTAATGACTCCCAAACTCCACTAGAAGAAAGGGGAAAAAAGTGTGGTGGAGAGTCCAGAGAGATTGCAACACCCAAGACAGTGCAATGGGTGATTACAAAACCCTATTTTTAAAAGCAGACCACACTGATTTATTCAATCTAGACATGGCAGGGATGGGCAGCAATCCTCTTCTACTTTCCCACGCTGTCCATGGGTGGTACTATCCAGGAAGGCCATATTACGACACAATTATCACAAGGAATTTACACACTAGTGATATTGTGAAACACTCCATAAGGATGAGCGTACATAGCCATAGAAAATGTGTAAGAATCAACATGGCTTACAGTGCAAATTTGATAGCAAGATGTCTGTAAATGGTTATAGCCATCTAAGTGGAACCCATTCCGAGTACAGACAGAATACCTGGTCAGACACATCTTGCCACAGAGCGGGATCCAAAAAAAAAGCTTAAGCAAGGGATCCTGAAAGAAAAGAAAGCATTAGTAAGGACTTACCTCCTGTCACAGCCACATCGAAGTTTATAGAATAGCCACAAGCAGCAGATGATACCCCGAGAAAGTAGACACAGCGATGTGTTGTAGGTAGTAGGAGATGAACATGTGCAGAGTTGTTCAAATGTCCAATCATAAAATCTCCTCCAATGGCCGATGAAGACAAGAAGCAAAGGATAAGGTAAGGTGATGGATTTGATGTAAGGAAACGTGAAAGAGATCATGCTGGGAAGGAGAGAAGGAGAAATAAGCAAACCGGATCAAACGTCGAACCCAATTGGCCATGGTAACCAGGGAAAGATCAGAGAAAGAGGAATATTGCCAAGGGACAAAAAGGTGGGAACGAGGACCCTGGAAAGAAGCCATGTGAGCAATATAACAACAGAGGGCAAGGACAAGACAGAGGAGTCTATCCGGATAAGGATAAGAGTAGAGATGAGATATAGAGGATAGGCAGATAGAGGAAAAGGACTGATTTTCTCAAGCCGCAGAGGTCTTAGGAAGGAAAATACAATCCAGATAAAAGATAAGGTAGGAGGAGTGTTACAAGGTCCTGGTAACATTTAGGGCAAAAACATCCAACCTGCAAAAAACAAGCTACCAAGTAAGTAAGGGCAGAATTTTGATGGGCCAAGGCCACCCGCGACTCCAAAGACTCATGAACCAAATCAAAACATATAATGCCGCAAAAACAAAGCCATGCAGAGGTCCCTCAAATAAGGAGCCTGGAGATGGGTCCATTCCAAAACCGCGTCATGGCTCATGAGGTCCCAACAACAAACAAACCATGTTTGAAGCACAGAGTTGAAGATAACAGATGAGCCAATGTAGAAATAAGGATGGAGAGTATTTCAGCAGGAAACCCCTCATGGTTCCTGTGAACAGCTTCCGACAAAAGGTGAAGGGAGGAAAGGTACCTTAACTGGGTCATGAGGGTGAGACGAAGGCAAGAAAATTGGGCTTGGTTAAGTTGGATACGGTAATCTGGGTTCGCTTTCCAAACAAGTAGAACTGCCCCCAAACACTTTTGGTAAAGAAAGGGAAAGTCCGCCCGATGATAAGCAAGGGTGGGCTGATCCAAATTCCATTGGGGACAAGGCGTACTAACTCCCTCCCCTAATTGAAAGGCAAATCGGTCAACATGAACCCTAATATCGGGAGACAGGGGATAGACTAAATAGGGTCAGGAAGTTGTTTCATATAAGAGAGAAGGTCTGGGGGCATAGGCAACAGATGTAAGAGACAAAACATCACATACCTGAGAGATAAAGTCTGAAAAGACTGATAACGGACAAGCTGAATCGTCAGAAAGTGAACGGGATGGCGCTGCAAATTCTTTGGAACAAGCAGTTAAAATTGTCATCAGCCTACCCTGGTTCGAAAGGCTCAGGAGGAAGTGGGGCAGAAGTAGGTGAGAGAAGTTGGCTTATATATCGCTCAATCTCCCAGCAAATGAGCAAAGATATATTCCCCAATGGGTCACTCATGCTCGTGGCTGAAAATACGGCATCAGACACTGGAAAAGTACCCAAAGTGGTGACTGTAACTTGGAATTCATAAGCAGAAAAAAGTGGCAAACACAAGGAAGTAATACTTTAATAAAAATATTAACTCCACAACTGTGAAGTTAAGGGAAATATAAAAAATGAAAAATAAACCACTTCAAGGTAACTGAACAATGTTAGGAAAATCATCTGAACTCGACAGCTGTTAAATGAGAAGTCATAGTGGCGCATAGAGGGAGTCACATGCATCATGTGATAGTAGTGCTCTCCTATTGGTGGAGAGGTGATGTATGATGATTTGGATGAGAGACATGTTGGAATTTTGGGTTCTAACAGAAAGACGATGAAGGATTGTAGCATGCGTTTCTGAAAAAGTTCCCATACAGAGGGCAACACAAAATGAGAAAAGCTAATATTGTGAGCTGAGGGAGAGTACCTTATCAGAAGTATTGCATAATTGGATTTGATTACTATGTTATGAAGTGGACAAAAGTACTACATAATTGGACTTGATTACTATGTTATGAAGTGGACAAAAGTATTGCATAATTGGACTTGATTACTATGTTATGCAGTGGACAAAAGTATTGCATAATTGGACTTGATTACTATGTTACGAAGTGGACAAAATGCGATGCTACAGGTATTAGAATTTACTGAATATATATATGTTAACTGTCCATTTCAAATAAACAAATGTAAATATAATTGTTCATCTGAAGATTAGAAAATTACTCTATGGCTATCTACAAGAAAGATCAAACTGGGTAAATCCAAACTGTATAATTACTGTCCTAAATGGATATATATGCATATATATATATGTTATGTCCCATTGATTTTGTGTGTGACATTGAAAACAGTAGTCTTATAGAATTACTCCATAATATACATATGAATACTGTGATCAACAGGTATGTTGAAAAATCACATGAGTTTGAAAGTTGTTAAATTAAAGGCAAATATACATGCACCAACAAGAGGTTCATGTAAAGCTGCAGGTTAAGATGTATAGAGTGCTTATGAAATTAAGATATTAGTTGGCAACAAAGCTATATAGCAGATGAATACTCACATATTCCCAAAGGTTGTATTGTTGGGAGAGAAACTTGATCAGGATTAGAAAATAAATATTTTAGTGACATTGGAGTGGGTGTGATTAATAATGGTAATATTAAAATAGAGTAGACAAAACTGCTCAGTTAATTTATGAGAAAATATGCTACCCATAAGTACAAGAGATAGATAATTCAGAGAATACTGAGAGTGGAAATGAACGTCTTTGATCCACTGGAGTATAGTAAAATTGCCTCAAATAAAATAAATAGGTCAAGGCAAAATATTGTGAGGAAAAAAGCTAGGAAGCTTTTCAATCAAACAGACATTGGCTCCCTAACCTGACGGAGAGTAATATCATGTTAAAGTTTCCTGCATATGAGCCAAATGAGTTTTACAAAACCAAAAATTTGTACTTTACAAATGATGAATTAGTGACATCTCCCCCCCCCCCAAAAAAAAACACAAATTTCTTTCAATAAATTTTGCTGTTTATCCTTCATATTTATCCATATATTATTTATATCTCATTTACACACAGTAAATGTGCGTGTCAAAAATATAACTGTTTAAAACTAGTTTTATTTCATTGAAACTAGAGAATATGTTTAAAGAAACACATTTGTTCCTTTAAACAGATTGTTTGTTTGTTTGTTGTGAATTTCACCAAAAGCTACATGAGGATTATCTGTGCTAGTCACCACCACCCACCGCCAATTCTTGGGTTACTCTTTTACCAATGAATAGTGGGATTGACCGTCATGTTATAACACACCCCCATGGCTGAAAGGGGATTCAAACCCACGACCCTCAGATTGCAAGTCAAGTGCTCTAACCACCTGGCCATGCTGGGCAATCAAACAGATATTAGCCCCCCTAACCCGATGGAGAGTAATCTCAATATCATGTTAAAAATATTGATTACCTGAACTAGATTCATTACATCTTCTCTGCTGAGAGCTCTATCAACATACTTGCTACCCTGGCTCAGTGTCACTACCTTGAGCTATCAAGAAAAACACAAGATGAACACATCACTATACATATATGAACAATCTAATTCTGATTTAAATATGATTAAACTTATAAGTTTTAAAACATAAGTGAAAATTAACTAAAACTATACATTTTAATTTCCCACCAAAAAGTAGTTTCACACTGGACTTAAAAAACACTTAATAAATAATCAATTTCATAACATCTTGCCCTACATGTATAAAGTTTAAGTAAAAAAACGAAAACAAATCAAAATGGAATTATTCTAAAAGACATAAACAATTACAACTAAACATTTTATCCCCAAGAAAAACTATTTTTTACAAGTATGATTGAACTAAGGTTCATTAATTTCATATCATTTTAATCTACAATAATTATAATGAATTAAGAAAAGAAAACTGAAAATTTAAATAAGTAATGCAAGTGATTATTGTAAAGTTATTTTTCCTTGTGTTGTACATTCTGTTAAAGGGGCATAAAATTTTTGAAAGTATAAATTCACTGTTTGCTTTCCTGCTGTTTAAAAGTTTTGTTTTTAATGCCTTCTGTGTCAGCCTTTTTTGGAAATGAGCTAAAAGTTATAATTTTCCTGCACTGAAAATGTATTTCTGATAGGTAATTACCTCCTCTCACATAAATGGATATTCTCATTCAGTGCTGCCCTCTATATGAAAAAAATTGCTTAAACATGCCACAAGCCTACTATCTCCCCTACATTGGAATTAATAAATTCCAATGTATCTCTCATGGAAATCATCATGCGTCAACCCTTCACAAATAGTAGCGCGATAAACTCTCATGATGCAGGTGACTCCCTCTATTCCATTCTACCTAACTATCACTTCAAGTTTTGGCAGAAGATGGAAGCACCGGTTTTCAGTAGAGATAAAGGGTGAGAACTGTGTGTGTGGTGGGGGTGGGGGGGGGGGGGGAGGGTAAGTACCTATCAGAAATACATTTCCAGTGTAGGAAAATTATAACTTCTGATATGGTACATTACCTCTCCTCACATAATTAGCTAGAATCCCACATTGAATAGGTGGAGGGACCAGTCTGAGGGAAAGAAAGAAGTATCCTTCGAAAGCATCTGAAAGACACTCCCTAAGATGAGTAATTAAAATTCTAAGAGCTGGTGTGGGGGACAGCACCACTTCTGAACTAGGTATATTTTTCACCCATCATAGAAATATGTTGCACATATATGGGCAGAAAACAGAGGAGCACATTCAAGTGGTAGAGAAACTGCTGGAAAGTGATCCGAACCATGCAATATTTATGAAACTCAATCCAGAAATTATAAAAGTGGGTAAAATGAAAAGGAAGGAGAAAGAATATGAACAGAGGATGGTTGCCAAGGAAGAAAGAAGCAGAAACAGACACCATAGAACCATGAGGATAAAGGTGAGAGACGGAAGGAAGGGAAAATGGCTAAACAGAGGAGTTATCCTCATGAGCCACCAAAGTGTTAGGGAAAAAAACATGATCAGTAAAAATGAAAAGATATAGAAAAGGATAAAGAGTACATGAAACATTGAGGCAAAGATAACACACGAGATTCCAAAGTCTCAGATACATGATCAAAAGCATATCATCAAAGAAAATACAACAATCCCAAAAAGAAAGAGGCAGCAAATGTACACAGGACAAGGTCTCATTGCAACCCAGAAAATTCCAACTGCAGTGAAACCACATGTGTAAAGGGAGAGCTGAAGATGACAAACAAGCCAACATGGAGGTAATAAGGAATCATAGAAAAATGGGGAATTGTATAAAACATAATATACCTGAGAAATCACATCAAAAAAATGCTGTATTAAGCCTAACTGATTTTGAAGGAGGAGTAGGGGTAAACACAACATAATCCAGAGGTGTGAAAATGCTATCAAATCTTCATTGGCCCAAACAGGTTCAGCTTGTTCAGGAGAAGATTGACACATATAATGAACAATCTTATGATGGATAATAGCAGAGAAATCCAATGACTGGTGCCAAAGGTATAAAACCCGAAGTGGGAACATGACTTTCAGAATTAATTGTAGAAATATGTAAATCAAACAAAAGTGTTTGATGCAAAATATACGATGTGAGAAAAAAAATAAAGACTGGGAAATTAAGTTAAATTAAAAGATTTCTTCAATGTAAAGAAAAAATAATAATGAAGAATTCCCACTTCGAAAATTAAACTATTAAAATCATGATTTACACGAAGTACTGCCAAACTAGAAGTGATAGTTATTTACTGTATTCTACCATAAACTTTCACTAATGAGCAATGTAGGGTAAAATGAATAACTGATAATTCTGACAACAAATACAGAATACCATGTTCAATAGCATTCTGTAAATTTGTCTTGGCATGTGAACTTAGGTCCCCACCTGTGAACATAGGACTAAACTGAAAAGTAAAACAAATATTTTAATAAATGAAAATAACCTTTGCTGAAAATGGACTAAAAATTATACTCGCCCACTCAGCAAATGTTAAATAAAATACTAAAACAAAGATGAGACTTCAAAAGAAAACCTTAGTTCTTCCAATTCAGAAATGAATCTGGCTGGATATGCCACTATTGCTCTCACATTCCACCTTCTCTCTGCATCTGTCCAATCATAAAATTGGATCAGATGTTCCCAAGAATATCTTTGTTTCAGGTGACAGTTGTAGGACTCAATAGAGCTATATCGTACAACAGAACAGTTTCTTGAATTGGATCCTGCTACAGAAAGTATCAACAAAGTCTGAATTTTGCTTGAAACCTTAACAAGAGTTAGCATATTCTGAATAAGGACTTCAGAAAAGTCTAAATTTTTGTAAATATGAAACATGCACTAGATGAGTAACATATGTGGTGTTTGTATACCACAAGGGGTAATCTGTGTGATCAGAATTCCAACCATACTGAACATCTCCAATAAAGCAATACAGATAATTAACTATTTGGATGAAATGTTGGAAATGGGTACTATTCAACCATCCATTAATCATGGTCAAACCCATCCTTTTGATATGTAAAAATATTATTGATGTCAAGTTCTGTATAGATGATCTTTAAGGCTCCATATCCTTTACAGATAACTTCTTTTTACCTCATATTGATGATATTTGAGGTTTTAGAACAGGGACAATTTTTCAGAACCTTACATTTGGTAACAAGGTATTTTATGTTTCAAATGGAAGAAAATGACAGTAAAAAAAGGCAGTTTTTGTTATTTCTAAAAGTTGCAGTTCTAAGGTTATGCCTTTTGAAAAATATTATGTTTTCATTCTTTTATTAGCTGAGAATGATGAACAGGTGTAGTTCTCAAAGATCTTTAAAATATTTCACACATACACAAGTTCAGCTAATGTGTTGTATTCAACATGCAGTTAAATTGACTATGTTATGTTTTTACCCTATTCTTGTCCTAATCACACATTGTCATAGGTTATTCCACTTTGAAGTTGCTGAACTGGAAAATTTGCTGGATTTACATTAGTGTTTCTCCAATGATATCAGTTATATACAGGTTAATAAATACCTAGAGGCAGTGTCCTCCTTATTTTAGCTTATGAGATGATCAAGTGATATGGGTGGCAACTAGCAAATGCTCATCTGGGAAACTTGACACTATTACAACAAGTACATAATTGTAAGTTCTCTTAGTTGATCCAGTGTTTTTCTTGGAATAGAACTTCTCTTTAATTAGAGAAAAGTATGAACACATTTCATCTTGTGAAGATATCATTTGAATGAGTTGTGTTTGTTCATATTGTGTCTCTAAAGACAAAATAAACTGTTTTTGCTTTAAAACTTGATTCTTCATTTCACTCAGATTTTACCCTGAAATATATTTTCTGCCATATTCTCAGTTATTGCAGTTACTACTTTTAACTCTAGGAAACCAGTGTATCTGTGGATACATGCCATTGTTGAATTGCTGATTTAGGCCTTTGAAATCAGGCTTGTGAAACGCTATGAAACTTTCAAAAGCAATTTCTGATCCAATATTACATTTTCCTGGTTTCAATATCTTGTTTACAGATGCATCCAATGTGGACTTAAGTGCATTACTTAAACATGGGAAGATGAAACAGAAATTTTTATAGCTTAATGAAAGAGGAATGCCTATTTTTTGGTCCCCTGTATTTTTCCAGTCTTACTTTAAGCAAACTTTTTTTCTGATGGTGACCAACCACAGAATTTTGCAATATTTGTTTTCTTAATTAGAGTTCCTAGATGATTGACTCATTGGGTACTATGATTCCCAATTTTTGTCCAAGTAAAACTTAATGTCATTTTTGATGCATGACTATAATATTTTGTAAAATAAGTTATCTTCTTTGTAAGGTTTTCCAGTACCTTCTGCTTTGAGAACAATACCATCTATAGAAGAGGATATTGATGGTTCAATGCAAAATAAAGAGTGATCTCACACATTGCAACAGCTTGATAGTGAACAAAAATTTATCATTCTGAGTATGAATTGGAGGGCTTCATTTATTTACTCAGTTACATTATTTTTGATGTGGTTTTGTTTGATAAACACTATAGTCTAGCTAGTCACATGAATCACAAACTTTGTTTCAGCTTCCCTGATGTTTACTCAATGTCATAATCATCTATTATCATAAGCTTCCCATGGCTAGTCATCTTTGTATTTAATATTTTTTGTCACATGCAATATTGATTAATTTAGCTTGGAACACATCAGGATGTAATGTAGTATATTAGGTCACTTGGTGCATGTAAAAGTATTTTTAACAACTCACAATAAATGTATAGTTCCTATAACATTATCAAAGCTTTTGAATATTTGGACTTCAATTCTGTTTTTCCATTGTCTCATTCATGATCTAGGTATTAGTGTCTTTATCAAACACTTTCTATTACTCAGACAATAGCTTCTGCATCAGTGGAGATCCTGAAAAATTAATAAATGTTTTTTAATGGTGGTCCAATTTAGTTAGTGTCAGAAATAAATAAGTTACCAGTCAGATATTTAAACATGTGATTAAAGCAGTCCAATACTTCTAAGTCCATAAAAAAAGCATTAAAATCACTTCATTGGATGTACATTTTTCATAAACATTCACAAAAGAAGAAATCATCCATTTTTCTTTCTTATGGACATGAAAATCATTTCCTTCTTGATCTTTTTTGGACTCATACAAAAGAAAGAATCATGAGTCAATCATTGGAATAACTTGTTGTCAAACATGATGAATGTGCTTCCTTCTCTGTCTTCAGTTCATGCTGTAGTTTTCCTTAACACATATTTGAAGTAGCTCTTGCAGATAAGAGGTTCGTTTAAGAAGTGTAAAGCAAAGTATCTCTGAATACTGACTGAGTTTAAACAAGAAAGAGATTGAATTAAGCTCTTTTTAAGAAAGTGAAAATCAATCTTTATCTCTCACAACACAATCAAAATATGAGTGCTACGACAAATAGTACTTCCCTGGAGAGCCATAGGTCAATCTAGTGCTCAGGTAACTAGAATGAAAGGAATTTCACCACATTCCTTAAACAACATTCTATTGTTAAAACTACACAGAAGGTCAGAAAAGTGTATTTGAAAATTCTTGGTGAACTTAAAAGATTCACCTTATTAATTAAAAGAAAATAAGAAATACCAGGTATGCATCTGCATACCACAATGTTAGGCAAATATTTTATCACAATAAATGCCAATGCTGGTAAAACTGGCCTTGAGAAACCTGGGCAAAGTTGAATCTCACCAACACACAAATGTTGTTGTTCAAAATGCTACTAAGCTGGCCTCTCTAATTTTTGGCCCTTATCTCGTGGTTAAGAGCTTTAAGTGATTCAAAGATTTTGTTATTATTGTTTATTTTCATGTAACCAATCTATCCTTATATTTTTCCATGGGATAGTAATATGGATGCATCATGAACCAGTCATGAGAACATTTAAGAACATGTATCTTAATGGTGCTAATAAAGACTTGCATTCATGTAATAATTTGTTTTTGATGATGTTTTGCCATTTTCAAAGGCAATACTAAAGGTAAGTATATATTATACTAAGTTGTTTCTTTGAATTCAGTTAACAGCCAGAATTTATCTGTTACAAATAAATGTGGTTAAGTGATGCTGTTCTTCAATCTGAGTATGGAAATGTTTTCATGAAGTTAATGATCATTTTGGTCAGGGTTTTATAATTGTTTGGACCTCCAACTGCTCCCTGTGTCCAAAAAAGGCCAGTCAACTGGATGGAAGATTGGTCCTTTTATTATTGGACTCACCAGTAGTAATCTGATAGGCTAAATATCTTTTCATCTCATTTATATTATTATTTCTCTGTTTTAGGATCCTCCTAGTTTTGTTTTTTGGTTGTTTAATGATCTCATAACACATTTTTCACTGGAGCATGGGTACACACTGCAGTAGCAGTAAGGTATTTTATAATTAAGTAGAATGTTTGAGATGTGATCTTGTTTCATGATGGTTGCAGTTCAAGTATTGTAAGAAATACCAGGACTTAGACACATTTACAGCTCTACCCAAGAAGTATCAAGTAGGTATGAAATGACACACTTAAAAATGCTGGTATTTCAATTACTACAAGTGGTAGAATTAGAAGGAATGATGAACAGTTTCAAACTATTTTTAGCAGTAAGAATGTATAAATGTATGTGTGAACTATATCACGAATCACAGAAGAGAGTAATTATATTTCTAATACAGTATTTTGTGTCATCCTATTATAGTTATCCAATAAAGAAAAACATAATTATACATAAATTATATGTATAATTTCAAGATTTTAATCTACAATATCATCTTAAAATAAAACTTGTGCCATGAATGTGCATAACCCTTATTTTAGTAGAAACTGAGCTGAATAGATTCCATCAAGTTCACTAGTTACACATGGGTTGCATGTGACTGATTAGACATGGTGGGTAAGAATATCTGATTTGAGCACACTAAAAATTTTCACATTTCATAGTTTTATACATATTGTTACATTTCATGCACAGTAATTTAATAATTACTTCCTCTGACTTACTATGAATGCTGCTAAGCTATCAGATACATCCTTTCCACCAAGACTACACTCTTGCACAATTTCGTTTATGATGTTTTTTATTACACTTGCAGCTGCCTCATTTGTCATTATTTTAAATTTCACAGCACCTAAAAGAAACCAACAAATAAATCATGAATAAAAAACATTAAAACATACAAAAAAAATCTGAAACTCAATAATAAAACAGTTTGTTTTGCATGTAAACATAATTTACATGAGTGAACATTTAATATGTTAGTTGCACTTATTTTGAATTTGTATATCAAAACTTTGCCTATACTATTTTTTTTTTGTTTGCTGTTAAAAGCATGTTGACCCTTGAGTTAGCAGTCATGCTTTTAAACAATAGCAGTAATAGTACGAGTACACTGGTAGCCAAAGAAAAGCAGCTATAACCATAAGATGAATTAAAAGTAATCATAAATTATTATTTTATAATGAAAGAAGTATAATGCTGAAGTATTTCCTTGGATTGTAAGGGATTATTTTCTCACTCAGCATATCAAAGATCCTAGTAAAAGGAAGATGCTATATTGGATCAATACTCAAACTCAAATTACCTTTAATATTTTTAGAGAAACCTAATATGTTGATAAGAATTCAGTCCCTAATGTCTATGTCTAGAATTTTTATGTTTTGATAAATATTTGGTAGCTACTCTAAATAGCAAAGGTGTCAATGCAACTTGGAATATCTTTATTACACATAGTTCTATCAGGTTAACTAAAAAAGGAATGCAAGCCTTCTAAAATTATTCTTCCAACTTAAAGTCTTTTCTAAAATAGTAGAAACAGAGAAATCAAGCAAGTAATAAATTAAAACTCTCTAGCTTACAAGATGAACTCTTCTTTAGAATGGAGATTGCTGAAGTTGTTTTTTTTAAATCAAGCAAGTTACAGTTTAAGCAAAGCAGAATCAAGAAAGTCTTTTGGCTCAGAAATATCAAATACAACTTGAAGAGTTTTTATGATTAGGTTAAGAGCAAAAGAAGCAACAAGGATAACAGTGGTCCCTTAAGAGATTTGAAAAGGAATCTAATTATGATGTAGGAAACATACATGTAGCTAAAGCATTGAGCATTTTTTAAATAAAGTTTTGACTAATGAGTAGGAAGAAACTTTCAGTCTGATCAATTTCTTTTATAAATATAAGAAGATTTTTTACTTCAGCTTTATGCATGTTAAAAAAAGATGGGAAAACGCCTTGAGAAACAAAAAATTAGTCCTGAAGAAATTTTTCAGAAAACCTTGAAGAAGTTTAGTAAAGAGTTGTAAGAGAGGCTTTATCTGATTGTTTTTGAAGGTTTCTAGGCACTCATTAGCAAGACATTGGAATCCACTGGATGCAGTTAATACAAATTTTTTTTGGGGGTGAGGAAGACATCTTGGTTTTCAACAAGTATTTTAACTCAAAGAAAGCCATTGGTAGAATGTCCGATATAGTTAAGGAATTGGTGTCAAAATTCAATACTGACTAGAAAATGGAATTCAAACAGAGAGCAGTGATAAACAGGTATTTTTTCAGTTCACAAAATGTGGTAATAATTTGGAAAGATCTTTGGGGAGAAAAACCTATGAATTCACTGATGATACTAATATGTCAAGAAGAGTTACCCACTGACTGTGGCTTCTCTAAACATGCATAGAACTTTTGCAAGCTGTACACCACATGCGACATGTTCACATTCAACTGCCAGAAGCAGACCATACCCTATACAGGGAATCAGCAATCAATGGGCTAATTTTATTACAAAAGGATCTTATAAGTCATAGGAATTTGGTCAGAATGTAGTAAATAAGGTAACTACTTTATTCAATTATACAAAATTGTTAGAGAATTAAAAAATCTTCTTATGTATAGTCAACTTATATAATGGAATGAAAAGGTTGGAAATATGAACTTAAATAATAAAGGTAACAGTTTCAACCAATGGTACACTTTCTTTTACTTATTTAGAGTTAAGTTTCTATAATTTTATTTTGAATATTCCTTTACGAAGACATCCAACAGACTGCAAAATGTTATATTCAAGAACCCAAAGATATTACCATTCAAAAAGTTAGGAATGGATGCTACAAAACTTGTCTGTGTACTTCACTTGTTGATCTATGGAGAGTACACCAAATGACCTCAATAAGCTTCATGCAGTTAAGCATTCTACATAACCCTGAACTAAATATAAACTAAGCAGCCATCTTAATCTTATTATAATTTTTAGAGTAGTTTTTCAAAATATAATTACTAAGCCAAGTATTCAAATCTACAATGAACACTTTTTTTTCCAAAAAATAATACAGTAAAATGAAAAGTAACACTAAGGATAAACCAACTTATCTTTCCATTTACAAAAACTAGAATGGTCTAAAAGTATAAAGTAGTCCAGAAACTGAACTGGCACAAGGTACACTGGCTCTCAAAACAAGCTCCCATATCAGGTGTTCAAAATACTATGACAAATAATCGATGATACTTTCAGGGAATCAGACCCTGAATGAAGGTAGAACACAATGATTATGTGAAATGTGACAATTTTATGGATGAGTTACAGATAATATTAAAAGCTATTTTCTAATCACTTGTGGGATAAGATGAACAAAACATATTGTTACGTCTCCGTTTTTTAATTAACTGATTTTCCGTAACTTCGTACCGACGAAACTTACGCGACACAAGCCTTTACTTAATAAAACTGGTTTATTCTTTCCGAATATAACTTAACCGATACACTCAACAATCGCGCTAAACAAACGCTATAGCAACGAACGTCAATAATACTACGCTATAGCAACGAACGTCAATAATACTCC